GTGTTTTTGTGACTACCAGTAAATTAGTAATATGAGATGTATTCACCCAAATTCGTTCAAGGTGATGAAGTACTGCACTGTCGCGGTTCGACTCCCGCTGAGGGTGTTGATAAGACCGATGCGAGGTCGAAACTGCAGTCCTCCTGTATAAGACCAAGTTTTTAGAAAGCAAGGCTATGTGAAATTCAATGGAAACGTCAGATCAACTCATATCATTGTGGGAAACTCTTCTTCTACCAGTCCTTCCTCACCTTAAACGAAATTGGGTGAATAGATCTCATATTACTGATCTACTGGTATTTAAGAAAACAATACTTAATTCGAAAAATAAGGTATCAAGTAGTTTGGTTCGGACTAGACTAAAATAAAGTTAAGATAAATTACATGAATTGATTCGATTGGTATGTATCAATTCAACAGTTCGATGCTAGAAATCATAATGAAATACTATGACAGAGAAAGCAGGACTATGTGCGTTCCACAAGATGTCCCTGTTGCTCCAACTAAGTTACAAAAACGAGGTCAAACCAATATGAAACTATTATTACTTAAGAATACCTATCCACTAGGCTTAGTTAAAAATTACTTCTAATTAATAAATAATATATTCTTGGTTGAAGTAGTTTGATCTTGTTTTCGCAACTAGGTCATATTTGTAGGAAGACTTAGACGAACGCACCTAGTCCGGAGTCCATTGTATGCATGATCCTTTCCAAATTCGGACCGTGGACGGGGTACATTCCCATACATTTCGCCGGCATCGTCAGTGAGTCTTGCGATTCTTAGCACCACACAACAACTTGTCAAAGATACAAGTGAAGCCGATCCTTTGACCAATTGTCTCCTAAATAATTGGGGTATTTCTCCTTCTGCCCTGGGCTATTACCCAATTCTATATCCTCGTATCACGCCTTCACTATCACAATTTTTTAATTGCTTATTTAAATGTGGTATAGTGTGCCCTTATGAGCGGCTTTCATGAGAACTCTCCACACTCCACGCTGGCTTTCTCACTCCCTCACCCCCCTTCACCCTTGTGTTGAGAATGTTGATCAGAGTCTGTCCTATTGTTACGCAGTCCTCCTTTCATAGGTTTCATCAGAGTCTCCCCCTTGCCTTGAAGGATCCGTCTGTTATCTCTCTGGTTCAAGTATTTCCCTCGACCACTGCCACCCCATCTGTGCTCCACGAGACGTTATTTCCCACACTCTGCGTCTGAGTGACTAACTTGAGGCTAAAGACTCCAAATAATCATCATGGTCAAGCCATTGCTTCATGGACTACTTCTATGATCAAACACGTCTATTGTTAGCCAAATAGCTCAAGTCCCTACCGCGCAATCCTGTTTCTATCCATAATACCAAATCTAACACGTCCTATGCCCTAGTCTCTTGTGTGTCAACCCACAAATGTTGTGGAACTGCTTGCTTTGATTAAGTTCAATATTGAACCATAACATTTGTGGGTTGGCACGATGCGGGACGTTGCAAAAACAAGGTTAAACTACTTCTATATAATGAAAAGAGACTGCGGACACACAAAAGGCCACATCATCTTGGTGTTCATACCTTCGAATATATTTTTGAATTATAAATATGTTAAAAAGCCATGGACTTTTTCCCATGTTTTGTCTTTGCCTTCTCGTGCATTCCCTCTAAAAATTTAGGCGAACTAGTAAGGAGGTTAGGAATAAAAACGGTTTTCAGGAAACTGATGATACTTTCTCAAGTTATGCCTAATTCTAGAGATAAATTTGACCCATTATCTAGATCAGGTTGTTATAAGATAATGTATCCATGCGGCCACTTTTGTGCTGGATAGGCTTATCGTCCTATTCGACAAAGGGTGGCTGATCACAAAGGTGCCTGTAGAGGCTGATGGGTTCATAAATCAGAGCTAAATGACAGAAACTGTGCATAAGGTTGAATGGTCTCAAACTTGTCGTTTTGCAGATTTTGTATGACTGTGGCTAGGCACAAAATTAGAGAGGCCATTGACATCAATCGACCAGACAATACATTAAATGTAAGTAATACCGGTAAGTAGCTAAGTAAAAACTACTTATGCCTAATTAATAGATTAAAAAATAGAGAGTGTTGAGCAACCAGAAAAAGAGAGACGAATCAAACAGTATTATTTGTCTTGTTTCTAATTACGGTCACTTTTCTATACAGTTTAATCCACTCTTCCTCTCTCATATAAAGGCAAAAAGCTCATCAAGCTAACCAGACATTTGTCGAATTCGATGGAATAGTGGCTTAAAGAATAGAGCTTAAATATAAAGTATATATACATTATTTAGGGATAAGTCGGTAAAATTTCATAGCGCGTTAGCTTGAATATGGTAGAAAGAATGATACCCTGTTCGGATAGTGTACGTCATATGATGGACCAAATCTTTGCACGTTTTTCCCGAAATCGAAAAAGATTGCATCGGAAACAGCGTCAAGAAGAATGTTCCAGTAAAGTCGCTAGACAGTTTATCAAGCGGAATCCGCCGTCGTCGTCTGGTGGGATCGACCTTCAAATCTCTTTGACAAATTTTTTCATTCAAAATATAAGTGAACTTAATAATTATGAGATGTATTCACCCAATTTCGTTTAATGTGATGAAGGACTGGTAGAAGAAGAAGTTTTTTTACAATTATATGAGTTGAGCTGACGTTTCCATTTAATTTTACATACTACTGATTTACTGATAGTCACGTAAACAATACTTAATTCGAAAAATTTAATAATTATGAATCAAAAAAGTCCCCGAAACCTAACCTTTCTTCGTTTATGAATGTCATTTAACACTCCGCTTGTCCATTGTTACCTGCTACTCATGAAAATCATTGTCTGGCTGTTTGAAATTTGGCTGCCTCTGAGCCTTCAATTATTGCTCCCATTTACGTCATATTTGAGGATTTTAAGACGGTGATTCCAATGCCTAAGCATAATATTTTCCTTAGGCTTCAGACCCTCGATCCAGTTATCTTCTTTCTCATCACCACTCCATTCTCGTTTATTCTCTTGGACCAATGTGTCTGGCTTGATTCGGAAGCGCTAGTGTGAAGATGGATCGCTTGCCTCGTCCACTTCTGAATCACATAAAACACACTCCTCTTGTCTCTCAAGTTGACAGCCCCATTTGATCCAAATTTTCTAGTTAGTTGTGCATGTGTACGTGAGTTGGTAACCTTCTTAGTCAGACATGTTGCCAGTTCCCCTTCACTACAGTCGTTCACACGGCAAATGCATATTCACACACATTAGAGAGCAACTGGTATTGTGCCCCCTGCTCGGATTCCACACCCAGGTGAAATATACCTGGATCTTTGGCCTAGTAACTCTTTATGTTTATGAAATTTCGTTATTTTGTAGTGACTTTTACTCCGAAGTCAGTTTGGTTACATCTTTTATGACAACCAGCCAGTAGGTAATTATCTCTAAACTCACGCAACACCACTCGATGCACGCGTAATCTGCACTATGTCCCTCGGGAAATAAACCAACCTGGCAACTGTAGCCTCCCTGCTGAACCAATCAGGACATGACATTAAAAGTATTCAGAAGTATGTAAAGCTATAAACGTCTCCGACTCCTTTACCGAGCACTGCTCTTTTACACCAACAACACACTTCGCCATCGTCTTTGTCTTGGCAACTCCGAATCTTCGATTAGCTTTTCCTGTTGTGTACAAGTGGTACTTCGTGGCTCGTTTTCTTGTTTCAGTAAACAATAGCGCAAAGGCGAGCATATGTATTGAAATCTTCACATCCTAGCCCACAGGTGGACCGACACTGGTAACTTCAGGCAGATTCCATACTTTTTGTTTAAAAGTAGGCTTTCAGTTCCAGATTTGACTATTTTCACTGCAATCGTCCTGCATTTGCTTCCCTTTGTCCTTGATGATCTTGTTATTGGCGATGTATCTTCCTGCTGTTGAATAGATGTCTTTGCGAAGTAAATTTGGGTTTCGAGAAATCTCATTTCATAATTGTCGAGCTTACTTCCATTTCAAGTGAAAGTGTTTGGTGAAGAGATTCTAAGGTCGGTTCCACCAGAAGACGACGGCGGATTCCTCTTGACCAGCTGTCGATTAGCTTTACTGAAATATTCATGCTGAAGCTCTCTCTCTCACTCAACGCTTTCACTCGAAATGCAAGTAAGCTCAACAATAGATGTCCTTTGTCCAAGAGTCTTCTTTTAGCAGTTCCCACTGAATCTCCGAGTCTGCCCGGGCAGTAGATGAGATCATCGCTGACTCTTCCCTCTTCCAATCTCCTGTTCATCAGGTTTCTTTGAATAAGGATATCCACAGCCTCCCTGATCTTCCGTTTTCTGGTGTTTTCCTCATATGAGGCCAGTCTTTCCGCTGAAAACGAGGCAATTGTGTGACCGGCTAAGGCAATGTACTCAGCTATCTCCAAGCTTTCTGCATTCGTTGTCCTGGAGAGTCGCTGGTGTTCTTTGATTCCGATGTTGTCTGTCATTCCAGTCTCTCTGCTGTACTTCTGACTACATTCCCTGCAGTTTATTTTGTAAACTCTGAACATGTTATATGGACAAGTCGGTGAAGAGTATTGTGCGAATGTTCCATTTCTAAGTATCGGTCATAGCTTTCGGGCCAGTTCGCAGGAGGGTAGATGCATCAATCATTTTCGTCTGTTCCCTTTGCTTTTCCTACATGATCCTCTTCCTGCCATCCGTACATCACCATCCGCATTTTGCGTTGTATGGATCTTCTGGATATCCATTCCCAAGTCATATCTGAGTTATATTTCATATGTAAGTAGGGTTTCGAGACTACCATCTCATATCTGAGTTAGTTTTGTCAGTTCTACTTATCACCATACTTCTGCATATTCCAACCTTTAGTCCGTAATTATCGCAAGACTGGAACTTGAGGATTATTTTTCATGTGATTTCTTTTAGAACAGTATTTTCTTATGAGTCTCCCCGGAACAAATGACCTGCACATCCAATAGAGGTAAGTGTCCATTCTCTTTCACATACATTGTAAATTTGGCTATACAAATAAATGAGACTGAAACCAAACAATTTGCTACCCAATCTTGGCCTTCATATCAATGATATATGGAAAGTAATTTATAAACCCTACCTCACCTTAAGCGATTTAGGGTGGTTGGAGTTCTTATGAAGAATCCAATGATAGCATCGGAACACACTATTTAAATTTCAGCAAAAGTATTTATTTTTAAAAGGCTTGAACTTATTTTTGCAAAATCGTCCTGGTCTCAGGGCGACCTCGATGAAGGTACCTTGTCCACCATCCTCCTCAACATTGGTCATGATAAG